CTACTTTTTTAAAGTTTGTGGTAGGGAACAGATTGCAATAGTGCAAACCCTTTTTGGAGTAAAGGTCCACTTTAATTATAGAGATGCAGTCCTAAAGAGGAGCAGCTTTGTCACAGAGGTACCCAAGTGTTGAGTTTTTGGTAGGGAACTGCACTTGTGTATGAGCAACAGATCACAAGGCTGATCCCCCTCCCAAAAACTTATGTTCTTCTGAGCTGATGGAAACAACTGAAAGGGTTTTTCCACTGGTTATTGCAAGATATAAGGAATAATATTACGTAACACCCTCTTGAGTCTTCCATGTATGGAAAATGTTTTCACATCCACCCTCTAGATAGTGGTGATCACAGATTTTCTGATCTTCAGCTGATAAGGATTTCTAAAATATATGTAACACCCTGCCATTGTTCAGACTGCAGGATGTTAAAAATAATCTGAAAGCCCTCCTGCTGACACCATCACAGAGGAAGTCCCCAAGCCTATGACCTTACCTTTCAATCAAGCAGAGTCCCCTTATTCTAGGTGGGAATTTTTCTTACAAAATTTGTTCAATAACGTGTATTTGCCAATTGATGTACCTCATGATTTAAGGGAATTATTTTTCTTGCTAAATGTACATATGTTATATCAAACATTGTTAGACCAAAGGCTTTAAGTGGGGAGAGTGTGTAACACCCTGCTATGATTCAGACTGCAGGATGTTAAGAGACACAAGGTGGCAGCATCTTGCAACTCGGTGACACACTCTGGTAAAATCTTTATGGATCTTATAGGCTGAACTGCAGGACTTTGTTAGAAGGCTGATAATTGGGGGACTGCATTTTTCCCAGAAGAGCTGGCGTGCGGGAGGAGGCATATAAAGGTAGAAGCCTGGGAACAGGAAGAGGAGGTGAGAGAGAGCTGTGTGCACCCATATGGAAGAAAAATATATTTGAAATTTATTTTAAAAATGTTCTTCCCAAATATATTGCCATATACAGTTAGGTCCATAAATATTGGGACATCGACACAATTATAACATTTTTGGCCCTATACACCACCACAATAGATTTAAAATGAAACAAACAAGATGTGCTTTAACTGCAGACTGTCAGCTTTAATTTGAGGGTATTTACATCCAAATCAGGTGAACGGTGTAGGAATTACAACAGTATGCATATGTGCCTCCCACTTGTTAAGGGACCAAAAGTAATGGGACAATTGGCTTCTCAGCTGTTCCATGGCCAGGTGTATGTTATTCCCTCATTATCCCAATTACAATGAGCAGATAAAAGGTCCAGAGTTCATTTCAAGTGTGCTATTTGCATTTGGAATCTGTTGCTGTCAACTCTCAAGATGTGATCCAAAGAGCTGTCACTATCAGTGAAGCAAGCCATCATTAGGCTGAAAAAACAAAACAAACCCATCAGAGAGATAGCAAAAACATTAGGCGTGGCCAAAACAACTGTTTGGAACATTAAAAAGAAGGAACGCACTGGTGAGCTCAGCAACACCAAAAGACCTGGAAGACCACGGAAAACAACTGTGGGTGGATGACCGAAGAATTTCTTTCCCTGGTGAAGAAAACGCCCTTCACAACAGTTGGCCAGATCAAGAACACTCTCCAGGAGGTAGGTGTATGTGTGTCAAAGTCAACAATCAAGAGAAGACTTCACCAGAGTGAATACAGAAGGTTCACCACAAGATGTAAACCATTGGTGAGCCTCAAAAACAGGAAGGCCAGATTAGAGTTTGCCAAACGACATCTAAAAAAGCCTTTATAGTTCTGGAACAACATCCTATGGACAGATGAGACCAAGATCAACTTGTACTAGAGTGATGGGAAGAGAAGAGTATGAAGAAGGAAAGGAACTGCTCATGATCCTAAGCATACCACCTCATCAGTGAAGCATGGTGGTGGTAGTGTCATGGCATGGGCATGTATGGCTGCCAATGGAACTGGTTCTCTTGTATTTTTTGATGATGTGACTGCTGACAAAAGCAGCAGGATGAATTCTGAAGTGTTTTCGGGCAATATTATCTGCTCATATTCAGCCAAATGCTTCAGAACTCATTGGACGCCGCTTCACAGTGCAGATGGACAATGACCCAAAGCATACTGCAAAAGCAACCAAAGAGTTTTTTAAGGGAAAGAAGTGGAATGTTATGCAATGGCCAAGTCAATCACCTGACCTGAATCCGATTGAGCACGCATTTCACTTGCTGAAGACAAAACTGAAGGGAAAATGCCCCAAGAACAAGCAGGAACTAAAGATAGTTGCAGTAGAGGCCTGGCAGAGCATCACCAGGGATGAAACCCAGCGTCTGGTGATGTCTATGCGTTCCAGACTTCAGGCTGTAATTTACTGCAAAAGATTTGCAACCAAGTATTAAAAAGTGAAAGTTTGATTTATGATAATTATTCTGTCCCATTACTTTTGGTCCCTTAACAAGTGGGAGGCACATATGCAAACTGTTGTAATTCCTACACCGTTCACCTGATTTGGATGTAAATACCATCAAATTAAAGCTGACAGTCTGCAGTTAAAGCACATCTTGTTTCGTTTCATTTCAAATCCATTGTGGTGGTATATAGAGCCAAAAATGTTATAATTGTGTCGATGTCCCAATATTTATGGACCTGACTGTATGTGAAATGCTACAATTTTGGCCATAATCAATATATTTCCATAAATTATTTATTTTTATATATATATATATATATATATATATATATATATATATATATATATATTGCATGTTGAAATGCTTTTTTGTTACAAAATATATGAAAAATATTTTTGAAAATACATTTCGAATATACTGTGTCTTTAAAAATACAAATCTACATTTTTGGAATGCATTTACAGATCTATGTAAAAATATATGTTAAAATGACTTTTTTTTTTATATTTTCAAAAAAATCTGAAGAATATATTTAAAAAAAGTGAAATTATTTTTTTTTAACATGTAAAGTAATTTTAACATATTTGTAAATGCATTCCAAAAATGTAGATTTGTATTTTAAAGACATACAGTATATTTGAAATGTATTTTTAAAAATATTTTTCATATTGTAACAAAGCATTTTAAGTGTGTGTGTGTGTGTGTGTGTGTGTGTGTATGTATATATCAAAAATTTCAACATGCAGTGTATGGAATATGGCCAAAATTGTAGCATTTCAAATATATGGCAATATATTTGGGAAGAATATATTTAAAATATATTTTTCTTCCATGTGGGTTTTCTAATATACACTGTATGTTGACCCCAGTGCCTCTGACACCACTGCGTCAAGGCAGAGAGGGGGGTAGGTACAGGATGCCAGGGTTGGGTTCTGGATGGCAGATGTATTTCCCTATTATTTGAATTGTGGTCCCTTTTAAGTGGAACAGTTTAAAGTCATTATTGTACTCGGGGTTTCACCCATGCAGAAAGAGGGGTTCCAGGTTAGTCTGGTTGATGAAGAAAGGACTGAATTTTAGTTCTCTAGATTGCTAAGGCCCCAGTAGGGACCCGAAATGTTGGAGGTTTGAAGCATTTTAGTTGATTACAAGAACTTTAGTCCTGAGAGGGTTAACCTGGATGCCTCAGAGTCCATAAAAGGAAGAGGAATCAGCCTGCACCTGGCTGTGAGAGAGAGCTGGGTGAACTAAGTTTAGGATTTAGCCACAGTTGCTGAGCTGTGATGTGGTGGATGAAATCCTTTTACATGCAATATGATAAGCAAATGACAGCTCCACGACAGGACAGAGGAGCAGTAGATGCTTTCACAGTGAAACTTGTCTACTGCTCCTCTGTCCTGTCTTGGAGCTGTCATGTTTTTATCATATTGCATGTAAAGGATTCCAACAAAGGATTTCATCCACCACATTGCTGTTTGTGCGGCCAACCATTCTGTTTTTCCATTGCATCTGTGATCACGGATTGGGCCAGCACCTGTGTGTCTGTGGAAGGGTTATGCAGATTCTGCACTCGCTCATCTTTTTATTTCACAAATATAAGGGGCATGCTTTTTTTACCAGAGACATTACCTTACATTGGTATCAATGGGATGAAGAATGCTCCTACATTGATCAGCCACAACAGGAAGCCTGTCCCTTAAATTTGTGGTTGGTGGAAATTGCCCTAGTATTGGTGAGCAGTGAGAAAAATCCCCTGACTAACCAATTTCGCACAGGCACTGAAGGAATCCTAAATCAGCATTTTCATCGTAAACCAGTTCTATGCTGTTTTCTATGGTATATTGTTATTATGACTACATGTTACCCACTGTACTTATGTCAAATAAATTCAATAAAAACGTATTGGAAGTAAAGCAGCATTTTCTCTTGGACAGGTCATTATTGTAACCCTTCTGTTACACTTTTTTTTAAAGTATGGACCAAAAGCTTCTTTAATGGACTCCATTAAATCCTCCTTTTAAATGCTTAGCCTTGATGTGTACCACTGCCATAAACAGGCAAATGTGCCCCCCATCAATAACAGGTGAGAAGATTTCTGGCTGGCCTGCATTGTTTTTGACTTCCATAATGAAGAGGAATGATATACACTATATTGCCAAAAGTATTGGGATGCCTGCCTTTACACGCACATAAACTTTAATGGCATCCAAGTCTTAGTTCGTAGGGCTCAATATTGAGTTGGCCCACCCTTTGCAGCTATAACAGCTTCAACTCTTCTGGGAAGGCTGTCCACAAGGTTTAGGAGTGTGTCTATGGGAATGTTTGACCATTCTTCCAGAAGCGCATTTGTGAGGTCAGGTACTGTTGTTGAACAAGAAGGCCTGGCTAGTAGTCTCTGCTCTAATCCATCCCAAAAGTGTTCTGTCGGGTTGGGGCCAGTCAAGTTTCTCCACCCCAAACTCACTCATCCATGTCTTTATTGACCTTGCTTTGAGCACTGGTGAGCAGTCATATTGGAACAGGAAGGGACCATCCCCAAACTGTTCCCACAAAGTTCCCTTCAAGGCCCAGCCCCTGAAAAACAACCCCACATCATAATCCCCCTTCACTAAACTTTTGACTTTTCACAATGCTGTCAGGCAAGTACTATTCTCTTGGAAACTGCTCAACCCAGACTCATCCATTGGATTGTCAGACAGAGAAGCGTGATTCGTCAGTCCAGAGAACACGTCTCCACTGCTCTAGAGTCCAGTGCTTTACACCACTGCATCCAATGATTTGCATTGCACTTGGTGATGTGAGGTTTGGATACAGCTGCTCTGCCATGGGAACCCATTCCATGAAGTTCTCTATGCACTCAGAAAGCCACGAAGTTTGGAGGTCTTTAGATATTGACTTTGCAGACAATTGGCAACTTCTGCGTACTGTGCGCTTCAGCATGTGCTTATCCCAATCTGTCATTTTATGTGGCCTACCACTTCGTGGCTGAGTTGCTGTTGTTTCCACTTTGTTGTAATACCACTAACAGTTGACTGTGGAATATTTTAGTAGCAAGGAAATTTCACAGATGGACTTATTGCAGAGGTGGCAACCTAACACGGCACTATGCTTGAATTCACTGAACTCCTGAGAACGATCCATTATTTCACAAATGTTTGTAGAAGCAGTCTGCATGCCTAGGTGCTTGATTTTATACACCTGTGGCCATGAAGGTGATTGGAACACCCAAATCCAGTGATTTAGAAGGGCGTCCCAATACATTTGGCAATATAGTGTATATTGGGAAGTCATTGCAATAATCCTCACTGATAACCTATGATATTTCATTTGATTTTTTCAGCTGTCCATGTCTGGGTCATTTTCTCTTTCTTCCTTTTTCCGATGATGGTGGTTACTAGGACAGGAAATTAATACAATTTTCAACATCAGAAACAAGGAGAAAAAAAAGAATCCACTTTTATATTTCCATATAATTCAAAAGAGGAGCTTAAAAGCCAGAGAAAAATCCTGTACCAGCCAAAAATAAAAGAAGAGTTCCTTCTTTTCTTCTTTTTAGGTTGCAAAATGAAAACAACAGTAACAACTTTTTCATATTGCAGAACTGAGGTGGAATGTTTATTTTTACTTGAAAGAATTATGTGTGGTATACCACACACTGAATATAATAAATCAAGTATGCAAGGTCAACGTTCTGGAAGAGGATTGTCTGTTTGGACTTGGCAGTACAAAGCACATTTTTGCTGTATGAAGATTATTTCAAGAATAAACTTACTACTTCAACTTGACCTTATGTGCAAAACTGCACCTTACCCTGCTTTTGACACAGTCCATCCCTTACTGGCATTCCATGACATTCGAAATTCTCATTGCCACCCTTTACATAGTTCTGATAATAATGGGTGTGTTTAAAGGCAAGGACAGTCAAAACATGTTTGTAGCTTTACATTAGCATTTCTAACTATTCCAAGAAATACAAGAAAGAGAAATCCAAGTTAAAAAACAACTAAAAAATGTCATCCATGCTAAAAAAATCGTGGGAATTTAAAAGACCCTGTCATCACTCAAAGCCTGCTAGAATTAAGTGGTTATGCTAAAGCACTTACAATGTAAAAGATGGGGCTGACTTTTTAAAGTTTTCTTGGAAAAAAAGTGCACTACAAACATGCCTGATATTCCAATATTTGACACTTTGGCTTGGTGTTCCAGCCTCATGCTGTGGTTTCTTCTACCTGGCCCTGACAGCACCTGATGAGCAAATCTGCCCCTGTTCAATTTGCAGGAAGTTTGTCAAATCCTGCTTGAAATCTGCAAGCCCCAAACTTTACAGTGAACCCCATTGAAGTCTGTGGGAGGGTGAATTTTGATGCTAAATTCTGGTTATGTTCAACGCCTATTGGCAAGCTATTATCAAAAAAGAGCACTGCCATGGGGGACATTTAAAAAAGTGAAAATAATATAAAAAATGGGCAGCAGAGGTCCTTTTTAATGTACCTTCAGGGGTGACATGAAAAATAGCAATCCCTTAAATACATGCTTGGGAGATGCCTTAAGGCTGTGTCTGGTGTTATGGGACAGTGCAAATTTTAAGGACACCATATATTTTGGTTGTATAATTGATTTTATTTAACTTGATTAAAATACAACAGTAATTTGGTTCATTGAATAAGGGAAGTAGCAGTCACAGCAAATCTAAAAGATATGGAAATATGTATTCTTAAAAAGAATAAAACTAAGGTCCCCAACCTCATACAAGTTGACCAGTAGCAAAACAGTATAGTTTTATTGCAGTACCAAACTGCATTGACCTACAGTCAGGTCCATAAATATTGGGACATCGACACAATTCTAAAATTTTTGGCTCTATGGACCACCACAATGGATTTGAAATGAAACAAACATGATGTGCTTTAACTGCAGACTGTCAGCTTTAATTTGAGGGTATTTACATCCAAATCAGGTGAACGGTGTAGGAATTACAACAGTTTGCATATGTGCCTCCCACTTGTTAACGGACCAAAAGTAATGGGACAGAATAATAATCATAAATTAAACTTTCACTTTTTAATACTTGGTTGCAAATCCTTTGTAGTCAATTACAGCCTGAAGTCTGGAACGCATAGACATCACCAGACGCTGGGTTTCATCCCTGGTGATGCTCTGCCAGGCCTCTACTGCAACTGTCTTCAGATCCTGCTTGTTCTTGGGGCATTTTCCCTTTAGTTTTGTCTTCAGCAAGTGAAATGCATGCTCAATCGGATTCAGGTCAGGTGATTGACTTGGCCATTGCATAACATTCCACTTCTTTCCCTTAAAAAACTCTTTGGTTGCTTTTGCAGTATGCTTTGGGTCATTGTCCATCTGCACTGTGAAGCGGCGTCCAATGAGTTGTGAAGCATTTGGCTGAATATGAGTAGATAATATTGCCGGAGAAACACTTCAGAATTCATCCTGCTGCTTTTGTCAGCAGTCACATCATCAATAAATACAAGAGAACCAGTTCCATTGGCAGCCATACATGCCCACGCCATGACACTACCACCACCATGCTTCACTGATGAGGTGGTATGCTTAGGATCATGAGCAGTTCCTTTCCTTCTCCATACTCTTCTCTTCCCATCACTCACAAGTTGATCTCGGTCTCATCTGTCCATAGGATGTTGTTCCAGAACTGTGAAGGCTTTTTTAGATGTTGTTTGGCAAACTCTAATCTGGCCTTCCTGTTTTTGAGGCTCACCAATGGTTTACATCTTGTGGTGAACCCTCTGTATTCACTCTGGTGAAGTCTTCTCTTGATTGTTGACTTTGACACACATACACCTACCTCCTGGAGAGTGTTCTTGATCTGGCCAACTGTTGTGAAGGGTGTTTTCTTCACCAGGGAAAGAATTCTTCGGTCATCCACCACAGTTGTTTTCCGTGGTCTTCCAGGTCTTTTGGTGTTGCTGAGCTCACCAGTGCGTTCCTTCTTTTTAAGAATGTTCCAAACAGTTGTTTTGGCCACGCCTAATGTTTTTGCTATCTCTCTGATGGGTTTGTTTTGTTTTTTCAGCCTAATGATGGCTTGCTTCACTGATAGTGACAGCTCTTTGGATCTCATCTTGAGAGTTGACAGCAACAGATTCCAAATGCAAATAGCACACTTGAAATGAACTCTGGACCTTTTATCTGCTCATTGTAATTGGGATAATGAGGGAATAACACACCTGGCCATGGAACAGCTGAGAAGTCAATTGTCCCATTACTTTTGGTCCCTTAACAAGTGGGAGGCACATATGCAAACTGTTGTAATTCCTACACCGTTTACCTGATTTGGATGTAAATACCCTCAAATTAAAGCTGACAGTCTGCAGTTAAAGCACGTCTTGTTCATTTCATTTCAAATCCATTGTGGTGGTGTATAGAGCCAAAAATGTTAGAATTGTGTCGATGTCCCAATATTTATGGACCTGACTATATATGTTAATGAAATGTCAAAACAGAATGCACAAAAACATTTTAAAACCACAGACCCACATTCCCTGAATATTTTGCTTGCGCCTATTTTTCAGGGTCGCAGCATACACTTCTTGCTGACGGAGACAATGTTGCCATTTGTTTGCAGCACATCACTGCATACTTGTAAAGTAGTGTGCAACAAAGCACCCCATGTTTATTCCCCACATTATCATAGCTGCCGTTAAACTTAGGTAATCTCCTCTATTTAAAAAAAAAATGTAAGGCCTAAAGTGAAAGGCAGAAATTCGGCACACAGAGGTAGTAGATGGCAAGCAGATTCTACCTTTTCTATTCAGCAGGGTGTTTGGCATGTAATATTCTTTTATCACCATTAGATACCTCCACCTGTCTTTAGTTCCTTAATCCCATCATCCTGACTATACACAAATAAGCGGCCCCACTGGACTGGGCTTTTTTCTGTTGGTCCTCTAATTTGCGTACCTGTTTTTGTGCTGGGAGCACAACACACAACGCACTCCCAGCACAGAGACTGGGGTCTCACTGAAAGCCCTGGGTCTCGTTCTAATGATCGGGACCCAGAATTTCCGATTCCGGTTCACCTGATCGCTATGATAGCCTATGATTGGCTATCACAGTGATCAGTCACTGCAAAGCCCGCCCCTGTGTTTTCTCTCTCTGAATGGAGGTGAGAGATACATTGTATCTCTCTCTGTCCTTTCAGAGAGAAAAAAAAAGCATGTAAAAAAAATAAAATTAATAAAAAATAAAATAAAAAAAATACCTAGATCAAGGTTTGATCAAGGTCAGGGTCAGGATTTTTTTTTTTTTTTTAAATTAGTATCAGTGTCCGCTAGTGGCAGGATATTAAAAAAAAAAAGCAAAATGTACATTATTGTTTTCAGGGCCGTACTATGTGTACAAACAATTAACATACACATATGTGGTATTTCTGCAATTGTCAGGAGCAGGAGAAATTATCTTGGGTTATTATTTGGTGGTAGGTTACTGTAGTAGCAAGAAATATACAGTTGAATTTTAAAAAATTATTATTTTTTTACTATTTTGAGCCAGTTTTCCTTTGATAATAAAAAAAATCATGAGCTATCCATTACCATTAACCACCAAATCAAAGCCCAATTTTTCCTGAAACAAACCAGGCATAATCCACCTGGATACACAGAGTAGTTGTAATGATATGCACGGTTTTGCTAATACATGTCAAAGTTGCAAAATTATGCATTAAGATTTGTTTCACACTTGGGAGCAAAGGGGTTAAAGGAAAAGTATAGCCAAAGCTGTTTTGGTCTGCACTCCTGTGATCCCTTTTCAGCAGACAGCTAGCTAATGCCCTGTGTCAGTTGATATCACAAAGCCAGTCCAAGCCCGGTGGGAGACAAATGCAGCATTGGACTGATGCTCCATCCACCTAGGTGAGTATAACTTTTTTTTTTTGTAAAGCCCATACTTCTCTTTTAATTGAAATTGTTTTGCAAGAAATACTTTACTTCTCTCTTCTAGGGGAAAGTCACCAGAGTGTCTTCTGCCATGAACTCCAGGTGCCATATTGGGGGACCAAGTTTGATTGAACACATCTGAGATTTAGCCATCACAGCATTTGCTGGATCAGTCTGAAGAACATTGCTGCATTAGCTAGAGGAACCTGTCTTTTCATGCTCCATGCACACTGGGCGTTTAATAACGCTGGTAACGGTAGCTGTATAAAG